ATTACTCAAATATTTTTTATTTTCTAAAATTATTAAGTTATTGTTAGAGTAAAAAAAATATTAATTTATTTTCTAAAATTATTAAGTTATTGTTAGGGTAGATATAATATATTTTCTAAAATATTCATAGAGTAAAAAAATTATTGTTATTTTCTAAAATATTAAGTTCAAATATTATAAATATTAAAAATACGAGTATCCATTGGTGAAGAGTTGAGAATTTTAGTAAATCACAAAATTACTCAAATCCTCGTTAACACGTTGTCTTATTACAAACAAGTGGACAATCTATTCATCTCATATCTCATTGAAAAAAAAAATAAGAAGAAGATAATGTCATTATTATAAGTAGGGATTAGCATAGGTTGGGTCGGGTCGGGTTTTTAGTTCACTCGACCTGAGAATAAGGGAGTCTTCATCCGAGATCCGACCTGACTCGATCAAAACAAGGTTTCACCCGACCCGACCCGAATATATGACTTAGAAACTCAATCCGACCCGACCCGAAATAATAAAAAATTATTTTTACTCAATAAAAATATTAACTTAATTGAAAAAAATTATATATAAGGGGAGTTATTATAATTATTCCTAAATATATGAGGTAAAATTATATATTTTTTCGGGTCAGATCGAATATTTTTCACCCTAAACCTCACACGACTCAAATATCACACTTAAAAAAATCGACCCAACCTGAACCAATTTTTTTTAAAAATCCGACCCGATCGAAATCCGTCGGGTTGAGTGCCCATCCCTAATTATAAGCCAACTCATAATTGGGACAACTTATTACAATATTGTCCAATTTCAAGGTGTATATACTTTGATGTATGAATCCAAATCTCTAAAAATTTGACACTTTTGTTATGAATCTTTTCTGGCCTTTCTCCTCACGTTTACCCCATCACTCCCTTTTCCTTTATCCCTTGTCTGCAATTTGATCCAATTATTGCAGTGGGGGACTTACAAAAAAGAAGAAGAAGCTGGATTTAATTCAATATTCCAAATTTCAAATGCAATTGCAATCTGGGTTTTGGCCTGATAAAATATTCCATTTCGGTAAGGATTTATCGATGGATTTGAGCTGTTGAGCTTCGATCTTCGTTAGGGTGTTGTTCTTCTTGATTGGGTTTTTCTTTGATTATCGATTGATCTTCAGTTTTTTTATTTTTGGTTGCATATTTGATCTGGGTTTTGTTTCATTTTAATGTTTTCCTTTCTTGGTAGCTTAGAATAGAAAATTTCCTGGAAAAATAAAAAGGGGGAATTATTCCATATATATATATCGAATGTTTGATCTGCTAGTAAATTTTTAATTTTTGGGTTCTTTCAGTTTTGATTTTGTTTTGTTTCTTTCCAATTTTGGTTGCTAGTTTTAAGTTATGGTCCGACTCGTCCATATTCTTCCCCAGTGCGTAGTTTTGCTGCTATACGAGATCTAACAACGAGTGTTTGTTCTTTGCTGGCATTAACGTTCAATGCTAGAATTATGGCGCCTGGTGGTGGTATCTGCAAAGAGATGATCGAGTCCCCTCTCGCGTTTTCCGATTACGATATGACGACTTCGAGTGCGGAGTTAAGAGGTTCACCTTTAAGAAAAGCTGCAACTGGTTTATGTGGAAATCTGGGATCGTCGTCGACCAACGATGTCCATGAACTACTCGAGTGTCCCGTCTGCGTAAATTTGATGTATCCTCCAATTTACCAGGTAGATTCACGTTACATGCCAAGAATAAAGTATTTGGAAATGCAATGCCTTTGAGATTTATAATTGTTTTTTGGTCAAATTGGTATGCATTCGTATTCGGTATCATGTTTAATGCAAAGTGAAACGAGATATATTTGTGTAAATCAATCAAGATTGAAGAAATTGACATTGCATCTATGCACAAAGCTGGAGATTTTTCCTCCGAAAATCTTTTATGCAGAAGAAACTGGGATTTTAATCTCCATGGAAGTAGTTGAAAATGTGCTAATATTTTTACTGCTATTTGGTTGTGGATATGTAGTGACTATGCTACTTCTTAATCAAACTATTTGGATGACTAAAGCTCTGTTTTTCTGAATCTTCATTTATATTAAAAGTAACCATGTTTGATGTATATTCGGACATGGATGTGGGGATATAAACCTTCCAAGGACTGTTCAAATATATGGATAAACTTCAAGAAAGTTTAATATATCCATGTTGGATGCATAGCTGCATCCGATGTTCACACGAGCCCGAGCAACATTTGCATCTCCTTGATTGCATCAATGCATCACAATCATTACATAAACTTTATACTTCAAAAATCTTCTATTGACAGTTTTTGGTATCTTCTATGTTAGTGTCCCAATGGTCACACTGTATGCTCGAAATGCAAGACTAGAGTTCACAACTGTTGCCCAACTTGCCGCAATGAGCTGGGAAATATAAGGTGTTTGGCTCTGGAGAAAGTAGCCGAGTCGCTGGAACTTCCCTGCAGATACCAGATTCTGGGTTGTCATGATATTTTCCCATACTACAGCAAGCTCAAGCACGAAAAAAACTGCAGGTATCGCCCGTATAATTGCCCGTATGCTGGAGCTGAATGCTCTGTCACTGGTGATATTCCTTCTCTTGTCACACATCTCAAGAATGATCACAAGGTCGACATGCATGACGGGTGTACTTTCAACCATCGATACGTCAAATCCAACCCCCACGAAGTAGAAAATGCCACATGGATGTTAACGGTGAGATCTCTCTTCCTCTCTATGACATTACACAAACTTGCAACATTCCAGAATGCATTTGGGGAATGATTACACAGCAACAGATGTTTAGAATTGCAATTTGAACGAACTCTAAAGTTGGCATTCCTTATTACATCTTCTGCTGATTAATTGAATGAATTATTTCGATCTTATAGTATGTATCAATGCAATTCCATTTGGTTTGATCCATTTATGTGGATCTGGTGCAGGTTTTCAATTGTTTCGGACGACAATTTTGTTTGCACTTTGAGGCTTTTCACATAGGAATGGCTCCGGTTTACATGGCCTTCCTGCGGTTCATGGGTGATGAAGACGAGGCAAGACAATTTAGTTATAGTCTGGAAGTTGGGGGCGGTGGCAGAAAGTTTATGTGGCAAGGGGTGCCTAGAAGCATTCGTGATAGTCATCGGAAAGTTCGTGATAGTCAAGACGGACTTATCATTCAGCGGAACCTGGCACTCTTCTTCTCCGGTGGTGATAGACAGGAACTGAAGCTGAAAGTTGCTGGCCGTATTTGGAAAGAACAGTAAGTTCAGCATTGAAAGCTGAGATATATATATATATATTTGTGGTAGGTTTTTGTGCATCTTTCTGTAAATTTTGTAGATAAAGATATCACTTTGTGAAGGAAACTATGAAGTTTATTTATGATTTTTTATGATATTTCAGCGGAATACGGATTTGAAGGAACTTATAGTTACAACTTACAATGGGACATAATTATAGAAGACAAAAATTCTATAAAAATATTAAACTTCAAAATCATCTTTAGAATAATATTTGTTTTTCAAATGATTTTTCTCGACTAAATTGTATGAGGGATGGGCATTTGACCCGAGCCCGAAGGGTTTTGACCCGATACAATCCTATAGAATTGAGTTTTCTTTTAAAAAAACCGGGTTCGGGCCGGACCATGTTATACGGGAGAAAATGTTGGGTCGGATTAAATCAGGTTTTTTAGTTCAAATTTCGGGTCGGGTGAAATCTCTTAAAATCGGGTTTGGGTTTGGATCGCTTGACGGATGGAGAGTAGTATTTTTTAGGTTAGAATCAGATAGATCAAAAATCCGATCCGATCTATGTCCATCTCTAATTGTATCTGGTTAATTCTAAGATCAAGTAATCAATTGGATAATAAATTTATAAATAGTATAGATACAAATAATTTATAGATCTACTTATATTATTGTCAAATTATATTAATCTTACATATTTTTTAATTGTTTGTTTATACAATTAGTGTTTTTGAAAAATTATTTCATACATAAGAATATAATTATTCTTGTAGTGCAGTTAAAATTTTGAATCAATATGATATTTTTCGTCTGTTGGATTTTGGCAACATCCTAACACAAACCAATCTCAAAATCCAGGGGCCACCACATGCACACATTTCAACCTCATTTCAGTTTCCCTATAAATGCATCTTCTACATAGCAAAAAAGAAGAAAGGTGGAGGCATTTCAGTCTTGGGTTTCACAACACAAGCTCACTGCCATTGGTAACTTTACATATGTTTCCTTTTTGTTTAATGCTTTTTCTCCTTTCATTTGCCTTGACATGCGGGTGTTGCAGGAGCAGTATAGGCATCAGCAATTGGGGCATCACTGGCCTATAATAGTGGCGGAAGAAGTTCACTTAAGCCAAGTGTGAGGCTTATTCATGCTAGGTTCTCTTCTCACCATTTTCTTTCTCAAAACCGAATTAAACTCACCTCAATTTGCTTTGTTTTTAATCATCATTTCTCTGTGTTTGATTTGATTGGATGTAGGATGCACTCACAAGCCTTAACTCTAGCGCTGTTGTCTTGTGCAGCAGCTTACCATTACTATGAAAAGAATGGCAGCAGTTAAGACTATGGTTTTAAATCGCTGTCGCGTTTTCGGTTATTTCGAATTTACCGTGATTGCGGCCATCGCGGGTAACTCGAACAGCGGCGAAACCGTTATATCGCGGCCGAAATCACAGTCGCGGACCGTTTTTTAAAACCCTGGTCAAGACAGGATCACCTCCAATGCCTAGAACAGTCATACCTCATAATTATGTAACATTGAAATCTTTTTTTTTATGGATTAATGGGTTGATGATGATGATGATGAAAATGTTGGAATTAATGACATTTCAAATCTATCAGTTATACTTGAACAAGTGTGTTAAGCTGCTGCAATCTACAAAACATTAAACATAAACCACTCGTTGCAATCACATATCAGGAGAAACCCAAAAAAATCAACAAATGAGAAAAATGAAAAACATTATGCGATGAACGTGGATTGAACACATGACCTTCAGATCTTTCGTCTGACGCTCTCCCAACTGAGCTATCCTCGCAATTGCTTAAATAATTATTAACTATATTGAGAAAATAACTTCAGTGATCAAAAATACCTTATAATATACGATTTTAACTAACTTTTTTTGAATTTGCCAAAATGACCAACTAAATTGCAATGCGATCGATAATTCGCAACGCGATCTCCGGTATCGCAAATCAGTTTTCATATTCGCATTGCGATAGTCCAAGTTCGCATTGCGATTTACATATTCGCATTGCGATAGTCCAAAATCGCAATGCGGACCACGACCACGACCCGACCCGAGACGGATGGCGGCGACGGCGGCGCGCGAGAGTTCCCCTTGTTCTCTATCACTCAACAAGGAAGTGAGAAAGCCAAACCTTAAATACCATTCACAATAGTATTTCTAATACTATGTGAGATTGAGCATTACCAACACTTGTTTACTTATGGGCTTTGTTTAGATAAGAATACAAGAAGAAAGGAACTTTCTATTTTTTTGGGTAAAATACACATTTAGTCCCTAATCTATTAATTTTGATCTATTTAGTACCTAAATTTTCATTATTTTAAAAAAATATCTAAATTTCATATTAATTGTTTTTATATTAATCTAAATCTAAATCTGATATTCGATATGATTTATTATAAATCCAGATTAAACTCAAATTGCTTTGGTTGTTTATAAGACCTTATATTACTACGCTACGAACAAGTAAGGACTTTGTGGCCCAATGGATATGATATGACGCTGGTCTACGGAACCAGAAATTCTGGGTTTGATCCCCAGCAGAGTCGCTAGCTCTTTTTTTTCTTCTTGGAATCCTGGCATTTGATTTTGACGATGAGTGCTCACTCATTTATCGTTTAAGATATGGTTGTCAGTTTTAACATGAGTGAGAAATTGAGAGAATAATGTCGACTGATGAAATACCCAAAACCCCAAACCCTTGAATGTACCGATGAAAATACCCAAAACAATCTGATTCATTTCCGACTATGAAAAGAAGGAACTTTGGGTCTGTTGTTGTTCACAATAGTTTTAAATTTGCAGTATGGTTGGTGTTTCGGCCACTGCTATGGTTTTCTATCATAGCTTTTAATAGAATTTACCTTTTTATAGTATTTAATTAGAAAATAAGTGACCAAACTATACCACTTTTTTCAAATAGGTGTTCAATTTTTTTTCGATTCATTCAGGTACCTAACGTTACAAATGTTATCATTTTAGATGTCTCGATCATAACATTCGTTAAATTCTACTGTTAAAGGACACATGCCACGTTATAATAATTTTAAAAATTAAAACTATATTTAAAAAACTCAAAACTTCGAAAATCCTGATTTCAACCCCTAAACCCACCCTGATCGCCACCCTTTTTTATCGACAAACCTCCACTTGACGATCGATAACCCCATGAAAAGCCACCGAAAGAGGAGTCAATCGATGATCGTTTGATGTGTGTACCCTGAAGAACCCAACGCTATAAATCGTAACTCCACACAATTTCGACGGTTAATCGACGACAAGGATGATGGCGTATGATTAGGAAGATAGGAAGGACGGCGGGAGCAACGACGGTGGTCGTGGCAAGGATGACGTTGATGGGTTAGGGTTAGGAATTTAGAATTTTTAGAGATTTGGGACTTTTTGTAATTTAAGAGAAATTAAGGTTTTTTTAAAATAAATATAATATTTTTTTAATTTTTTAAAAAATAAAATTTCCAAAATTATCAGAACGCGACATGTGTCACTTAACTGAGAAATTTAACGATCGTTACGACCCAGACACCTAAAATTGTAACGTTTGTAACGTCAGACACCTGAATGAATTGAAAAAAAGTTTAGACACCTATTTGAGAAAAGCGGTATAGTTTTGGTACTTATTTTCTAATTAAGCCTTTTTAAATGATCATGCGTTACTTTTTGCCAAACAAAATTGAATTAAAACTTTTGAATTTTTATTTAGGTTACTTGCCTACACCCTAACCGGGTAAATTTAGGAAAATAGTATTTTTTAAGGAAAATGTAGATTATATGAAATTATTTAGGGATTTTATGGTAAAGTGAACTATAAACTTATCCAATGTTAAGAAATAAAGTGAAAACCTTAAACTCTAAACCCTAAAATTTAATTGATAGTGAGCAAAGAGCCAACGACGATGTAAAAGATGATCTAGGGATGACAATAGTGGAAGCAATTTGAGTTTGTTTTTGTCAATAATAGTTTTGAATTTATAGTGTGCTTGTTGATGAAGAGAATAATCGCCGAGGAAGCCGTCATAACCAACCATTGGAATACATATGTTTATTTATTTATTATTATTATTTAGCTCAACTTTACATCTGTTTCCTTTTTTGTTTAATGCTTTTTCTCCTTTCATTTGTCTCGACATGCGGGTGTTGCAGGAGCAGTAAGGGCATCAGCAATTGGGGGGGGGGGGGGGCATCACTGGCTTATAATAGTTGGGGAAGAAGCTCTCTTAAGCCAAGTCCGAGGCTTATTCATGCTAGGTTCTCTTCTCACCATGTTCTTTCTCAAAACCAAATTAAACTCACCTCAATTTGCTTTGTTTTTAATCAACATTTTCTGTGTGTTTGATTTGATTGGATGTAGGATGCACTCGCAAGCCTTAACTCTAGCGGTGTTGTCTGGTGCAGCAGCTTACCATTACTATGAAAAGAATGCTAGCACTCAAGACAGGATCACCACCAATGCCTAGAACAGATTCATACCTCATTATTATGTTAATTATGTAACATTGGAATCTCTTTTTTTATGGATTAGTGGTTGATGATGATGAAAATATTAGAATTAATGATATATCAGATCTATCAGTTATAGTCCCTGCTTAGTTTCTTTCATGTTCCCCTACTCATGTTCTTTAATAATGGATGCAAGCTGAGAAAAATAATGAAAAGAGAGAAAATGAGTGCTTTGAGATGACAGAAACTCTCTTTAAAGCATTGACGATGAAAAAAATATGGAACAGGAACTTAACTCGAAAAAGAGCAGTAAAAGATGTTTGTCCAAACTAGGAAGGTCAAACTGCCAAAAATGCAACTCAGTCCAGACCATTAACAGATTCTTGAACAAGTGTGTTAAGCTGCTGCAATCTACCAAACATCAAACATAAACCATCTTCTGGTTTGCGATGAACGTGGATTGAACACGCGACCTTCAGATCTTCAGTCTGACGTTCTCTCAATTGAGCTATTCTCGCAAATACTTTACAAATTGAATAAGCAGTTATTAAATCTTTAATTTATGCTTCTCATGACTGGGGATTTAGAAGAATACTGTCGACTGATGAAATACCTAAAATCCATTTTCCCTGTAAGAATGTACCGATGAAAATACCCAAATCAAGTTTCACAAACTAATTCAGTTCTGATTATCAGGGAATGGAGTAGAAGAAGAAGAAATGGTGATGATGAAAGACGATATAGGGATGGAAAGAAATTTGGGTTTATTGTTTTTGGCAATAGTTTTGAAATTGCATTATGCTTGGTGTTGGGAGAATGGTGTTTCGCAACACTACTATGATGAAGTCAATGATCGCCGCCGCCACTGCCGCCGCCATTGGAATACATATGGGTTTTGTTTAAATAATAATACAAGATGTAAGGAACCTTTTATATATTTTTGAGTAATCTACACTTTTAGTATCTAAATTATCAATTTTAATCTACTTGTTACCTAAATTTTCATTATTTTAAAAGCATATCTAAAAATTGTTAGCAAAATTAAAAGTGTATTCGGATAGTTATTAGTGTCATGGTATATTAGTCATGATGCCATTAAATGGTATTTTAATGTTGTAAGTAGCCATTCACAATTAAAATACAAGATGGGAATGATTTTCAGCATTCACTCTCAACATGGTATTTCCATGTGAGAAAAGATTATATCTTTATGCTCAAATTCGTCTGGTATAGACTTATATTACATAACTGATTGTGTTGTCTTCTAAAGGCTTCATATATTTCTGTTACCTACCATAATTGAGTCTTGAAGGAAATGGTAGGTGATGAGTGTGAAATACTATTGTTCCCTTTTAAAACGGTTTTGCTTTAGAACCCCAAGCATTCCTTGTGTTTGTATTTCTAAGTCAAGTTTCTTTCAGTTTTAGCAGTCAGAAAATGACTTGAAAACAATATTTGGAACATAAAAGTTTAAGGCCTTTGTGTCATTGTATCTTGTGATAGTATTGTCATATCAAAGCATTGAAAATTAAGGTCGTGTATTCTGATAATTAATCTTTACTCTTGTTCATATTCTTCTTCTTAGATCTCTATTGCTTAATGTTTGTTTAGATGTATCTTAATTTGTATTGAATGCATAATTATGCTATTGACCTTTGGAAGTTTTTGGCCTTTGTTAAGACAATTTATTTAAAAGCCCTTTATCAGTTGTATTTGGCGCATATATAGACACAAGTGTGATGGTATTGGACCTTCAAGGATTCTCCAAATATATGAAAAAAACAGAGAAAAATTCATCGTGCTTTGTCGGATACATACATATTTTTGATACTCACATCTGAGTTTGAGTAAATGATGCATATATGTACAATGTTTTTCCCTTGTAACAATTGCTTCCCTTGGTGTGAAACTGAGAATTTTAGGATACGATAAATGATTGTTCTTTTTCCTTTTTAGTTCCTAGCATTTTACTCCACAAGGGGTGGAAAAGAAGAAATAATACAGATAAAATGCTGCATCGATGGAGTATTTCCCTTTTAACTTCATGGAATCATTTTAACTCCAAAGTTATACATTTTCTGTAGTTGAATCATTAACATTTTTTTGGCATTTGTTACATTTTTAATATTATTTTTTATAATATATTGATGTTTGCTTAAAGTATTCAGCATGAAAACCGGACGAATATACGTGGGAAGGAAAAGAGCAATAACATGCAACTCTTTTGTCATCTGCAATTGCTTTTTTGCTTACGTTATTAGCATTAGTTGCTGCTTACAACTTTTTGATGTTTGCTTTTGCATCAAGTCATATTGTGCTTTTTGTCTCTTTGAAGCTTGTTTTCTTCCATAACCATATGAATCCTTGAAGATAATCTGGTTACATATCTTTTAAGCCGGGGTTTAATACTTTGGTTAAGTCACCACAGAAGCAATGCCAAAAGAGGGCTGAGGTATATGCTTCCAAGCATGACTTGCCCCACGATTTCATTTAGTAAAGCTACGTAACTCGAACTCTATTCTGAGTCTCAGAAATGAGTGTGTTGGGCAAGGATATGTTCAATTTTTTAACTAGGGTTTTCATGTATTTGGAGAGTCCTTATAGGATCATATTTCTATACCCATGTTCAAATATTAAGAGTCGGAGTAAAATAAAAGCAGAGAGCTTATTTTGCAGAGGTTGATGCATTTGAACTAGAAGAGGTGGCATTAGCTGATGAGTTGGATTAGATTGAAGAGTATATTACTGCATCATTTAGGATAATGTAATTAAGATTCTCTGACCCTGCAATATTATCTAGAGATACTCAGAGTTTGAGTATCGGATACGAATATGTTTCTAACATGGGCATGTTTAATATTTTCTAAGGTCATACCTCATGGCCATACACATGTATCGATACGTATCTGATACGAATGTCTTCCCCATTGTAAATATATAGATACTGACAGATTTCGCTGTAATATCAGATGCTCGAAAGTCTTCCCCAACGTAGTCTAGCACTGTGTGCATCCAGTTATAGCTAGTTAAGTAGTTGACTGATAGATTTTCTGTGTCCATCCAAGTTTTTGCTGTTGTACACCAATAATGCAGGCTAGGCTTATGTTACTCGGATCAAGTTTGAAGCAACAAGGGGTACGCAGCAGTCCGGTTGTGCGAATCATCCATGTTTGAATTGTTGTCGTCGTCGTGTTGTTGTAGTCATGTAGTTTATTTTGAATATGACTGGTGGATGGAGGCTAGTGAAAGAAACTCTTTACCCTGGAAGGCTAAATGAGCCTCTAGATGGATTCATTTCTTTTTTCCCCCCCAATATAATAATAGTAAAGTAGCATTGGCATGTGATTGAGCACATATTAAGCAATCATTAATTATTAGAATATTTATCTGATTTCTTTTTCAACTTCCATAAGAAAAAGAAGAAATTAGTGTCTTTTGCTAATCTAATCTTCTTTTTCAACAGGCTATGGTTAAAGTTGATCATTCATTTTTGGCCAGAAAATCCAACAGTCTGGTATATTAATGAAAACTATACCTTTTAGAATAGCCATGTTTAATATTTGTGTTCGATAACTTCGTATTAGAATACTCGAATTCGTTAAGTTCGATTACTTGAGATGTTAGAACTCGAACTCGACGATGATTAAGATGAATTCTCTCCCTTTGTTTCAAGTCGAATTTGAGAAACTTGAAGAGCACAAATGTCCCATTTATTAAACATACAAATTTATTCAACATACAAACATTCACACAAGTGGAAAACATGGACAGTTTTAAATTGTACAAACAGCTCAATCAGTCATCTCAAACTGGCTTTTTTTACTTTCTTGCAGGAATGAAAACATGCTCTTCAATTTGCTTTCCGACAGTTGATTCTGATTTCCCCAGAATTTCCTGTAAGAGGTTTAATGTTTCCCATCTTGATCATAGACTTGGCAAATTCCTTGAAAAATAATTTAGTGTTGGCAGCATATCTTTTAACCAAATCATCAGTTGATGAATTCCCATTGAAGAGTTCTTGATCTGAATGGAGCAGACCCTTCTTGTCCAACAAATTTCCGTAATACAGACTATCGAAACGAATCGGTGTTTGACGATCGAGAGGGGCGAGCACATTTTCGTTTCCGCTTCTCGGGCAAATCTGTCGCAACGAGTTGGCGAAGGAGGGGTCTATGTCTGAATCATTGTAAATGTGTGACCGGAACGATGTGCATCGGGCAAGGCCAATGGTGTGCGAACCTGTGAATCCAAATCGAACCATGGTAATTCGATGTTAAAGTGTACTTGTTTGTAGGATAATCAGGATTTTAAATAGTGACCGCAATGAAATATCGGATTTCTTCGAGACATTTGGATTACCGGAAAGTATTACAAGGTCTTTTATTGAGAGACCCTGAGCTGAGAAGCTTGAAATAAGAGCACTTAGATTAAAGGTTGGTTGTGGAATGCTGCTGTTTGCTGCACTTTGGCTAGCGGTGGTCGAATCCCTTCTTCCCAAGCGTACCTTCCATGACGGACCCCCTAACTACAAATTCGAAAAAAATTATCAGTCCATAACATTGTTAATGCAAAGATTGTCGTCCAGCTTTCGCTTAGTGTACTAACCTGAACAACCGAATCACGAGCTGCAATGGCTAGAATATCAGCGCAGGATACAACTCTAGGACATGCTTTCTCCAGTTGAGCTTTGATGTTGTCGACGACAATGAACCCTCTCGCCGAGTTATTGTTTGGAGCCGCGGTTTTCTCACCTATGAAAGTCGAGTTATCGTCCAAAAGAATAGATCCATCACATCCCTATTCACCACAAGGATCCACATAAACTTAAATCAACGAAAATATCGAACACTATGTTACTGAGACTTGTCCAAAAACACATTCAACACGACTGTTCAAGACAGTATTTCTAGAAAAAAAAACGAACACTCACATTAACGAAACAGTCGTGAAAATGTAATCTCAGCAATGAAGCTCCAACGCGTGTTTCGTTCTTTATAGCAGCGGCAACTTCAGCCTCAACAATAGATAAAGCTTGTGGGCAGGTGGATGAGTAATAACCAGGGGAGAGTTGGCCTTTGGCCTGAAATGAACAAACAGCAGTAACCAAGATAAGAAACA